CGGACCGGGATAGCCTGAAGGGGAGGACCCAGACAGTGATGCCCGACCCTTGAACGCAAACCGTAGGAACGGCCTGTGTCGAGGAAGAATCGAGACATGAAAGTCAACGTCTTTCAGGTTGACCGCTGCAAACCAGTCCTGGGGCTGAATGCATCTGATGATGTACTTCTGCGTGAACATCTTAAACGGAAGCTTGTGAAGGGCCCGATTCAAGACACGCAGATCCAGGACTAGCCGAAGGCCACCGTCTTTGTTGAGCACGATGAAGTAAGGGCTGTAAACCCCAACACCATCTCGACTGGAGGGACAGGCTCGATTGCATCCTTCGCCAATAGGACAGCAATCTCCTCGCACAGGACAGGGGCGTCTCGAACTGCCACCAAAGTCTCGAGGACGCCGCTTAACCTGGGGGGGTCGCCTGGTGAACTGAACCACTTAGCCAAGTCAGACTGTCCGAATGAGCCAGCGGGACGGGTTGGGCAGCGCGAGCCACGCTCCCAAACTCCATGTAAGTGGCACCAAAGGGACAATCAACATACCCACAGTGGTGCAGCGGTGGGAAGTCGTGACAGATGGCCCAGAAAGCACTGCGTTCTGGCCCGTCACGGCAGGACTCCTCGTGTCCCCAGTGGGACCGGCCGGAGATGCATGGGAAGGCATTGCATCCCCGAACCGCAATGTTTTGGCCGCTGGTGATAGGGGGCGTCGTGGGCGAGAGTGAGTGAATAACCCAGCCTGGGAGATGGGAGCGTCCAGAAAGCGCACTGTCGACGTCACTCATCTCCACAAGGCTGCGCCATTGTCCACTAACGTGGACATCGCCTTCCCGAGGGACCGCACTGTGACTTTCGTTGCCCGGGGGGCAAAGTCATTCGCTGAATGCAGATCTTGCATCAACCTTGGGTCAGTACTACCCTCCTGCATTCGTTTTAGTGCCTTGGCTTGGTGTACTTGCAGGATAGCCATGGCATGCAGGGCAGAGGCGGCTTGGCCCACAGGACTGCAAGCTTTGGCTGTGAGAGCCGCCGTCAGCTTACAGGCTTTGGATGGGAGACGAGGAAGATTCCTCCAAGTGGTGGCGTTTTGCAGGCACAGGTGCATCGCAAACGCACTCTCCACCTGGGGAATGTCAACGTACCCCCTAGCCGCCCCGCCAACAAGGGTAGTGAGGATGGAGGAGGCAGACGAGCGGCTTCCGGCCGAATCTATCGGTGTGCCGAATGAAACGCTGGGCACGCCGTCAGACGGCACAGCAGAATCCCCGGGGAGCCGCACAGAACAGCTGCTGCGGGAGGAGTGAGAGGTTCACGGGCACTGGTCCGGCGGAGAGGCTCTCACTGTAGCCCTCAGATCGCTCAGAGCACTGGCCGATGGTTCCCTGCTCGTGGCAGAGAAGCCAGCACGGGTAGTGACAGAGCGAGCCCCTCCCATCCCCGTGAGAAGAGATAGGCGCGATCGCAGCGCTGCCATGGTTATACGCTCACAGTGAACGAATAAACCATTCACGAATGCAGCTTCAGCGAGCTGGATGCCCAGACACTGAAGACAACGATCGTGGCTGTCAACAGAGGATAGGAAACGACCGCAACCAAGAGGACATGGACGGAACGGCGTCTTTAAAAAGACACGAGCCGTCCACGATCAGAAACTTCTCTTTTAGATGAAGCACCCAGGGGAATCTCTAAATTAACAGGGACGCCGCTGATTGTGCCGTAACGCCACCCAGAACAGCCTCTTCTTCAGGAGAGAATTCGCCTATTTGTCACCTATTTATACCCGTATGCACGGGGAGTGGCTCAGATAATGTCGAGTCACGACATAACTCGTAGTGACCGCAGATAGGGAAGTATTGAAAGTGAAAGTGACGTGACATGTGGCCAAGTATGGTGAGTATGGTGGAATTAGTGCTCTGCATTTAACCCATCCAAAGTACACACACACGGCAGTGAACACACACACACACACACACACACACACACACACACACACCCATCCCCGTGAGAAGAGATACCTATTATATAGGTAATTATATAGGTAATCCTTATGGCTTGTGCACTATTCCAAACAGCGAGGACTTAAATTTCCCTGTTCCTCGCACAAAAGCATCAGACAGTATGACTTCAGAAGACATTAAATATGGTGCTGAAATCATATGAACTACTTTTTTTTACATAGAAGTCACACAGGTTTAAATCGACATGAATCCTCATTTTTGGGTATATTTCTTTAATCAATGTGTCTGGTTCTATTGTGCATATTAACCAGTTATAATGCTACCATGTTTGAGCAATTTAACATTTCATAAATAAGCAAAAAAAATTATTTTGAAAATTTTATATTAAAAAGTTTGCTTAATTGTAATGTTTGCTCTTAAAAAATTAATTTTTCATTTTATTTTCTTTCTTTATTTATTCATTTTTAATTGGTGTTTATTGATTTGGGGTGAAAAATAAGATTCACCCAAATGCATCAAACTCAAATAACTTTTGCACCTATAAGGATGAGATTTCTGTCAATAGAATAAAGTCATAGTCATGAAGATATTCCTTCAATAAACGTCTCTGGTCCTATTGTGCACAGTGGTGGAGCTAGAGTTTTATAGATGGGGTGGCCAAGGCTAATTCAGGGGGTCCATATCAGTGTATTACCCCAACCTGGCATAAAAAAGCATGAATAAATTCTATGATTGCATACTTCACATTACCCCACATAAGTTAAACATACCGTAACTTCAAATGTTAGGACAATGATACACGAGGCAACTTTTGGAGCAATTTTGCTTGGGCACTTTCCCATTAAGAATAGGTAACACATTTTTATCTGGATAATTTAGATCGGTCGTGGGCTCTGTGTCTCACCTGATTGCTCAAAAAGTTGCCCCGTGTTATCATCAGCCTTAACTTATTTCTTTTATTTAACCAGTGGTTGGAGCAAAAGATTACCTTGCAGGCTACAGTGAATTTTGTAAATGCTGTTCAGGAAACCTAAAACTTCAACTTACTTCAAACAGGGCTGACAACTTTTGAGTTCAGCCTGGAGTGAGAATTATTCAGGAAAAATTAACAAGCTTGCAATTAAGGAAGTTTTTTTTAAATTTTTTTTTATTTTTCTAAAATAAATTATACAGGGAACCCTATTGTTGAGGTTAAAAGTAACAACTGATTTGTAAACAAGTATTATACCATTTTTTTTATAATAATGTTATATCTTTACATTATTAATTATAATAAAAAGAGCAATTATATGAGTATATACTGTATATAAAAAACGTAATTTTTGCAAACTTCTACTCTCTAGTGTACATTTTTCTCGCTACTTGGACACTGAATGGAATTTCTGCAGTTATGTGACAATGTTTTATAGCTGCTGTCTTAACGCGATTGAAACACTCATTGCGTGATTACATGAGACACTATACAATAAGTTGTAGTGTATCTTTTAAAATGGATCGGATGTGCATTCGATGTTTATTTCATGCTAATTATATAATGCACTCCTGCTTCGCTTGAACTGAGGCAATGCGGGAGCACATGTGAACCGTCACGCCAATAAAGAGCTCCAAAACGGTATTTATCGTTTGAAATTCTAACATAATTTGAATGCTGAGACTTTGTTTCCTATTATCAGAAGTGACCTGCTCTGTCGTGTCTGTCAGCTCACTGTCTGTGGCCTCTCTGCTCTGCAATGTTTTCACTCCATAAGAAAATGAATGTGTGGCGCGAGAGGCTTGAAATAGACGCGATGAAGTGCTATGCGGAACACCAGATGCGTCGCATCCTTGCGTTCAAGGCTAAAATAAATGCTTCTTTCAGTACGATTAAACAAAGAACATGAAATAATAGCATATTAATTATTGGGGTGGCACCCTGGACACCCCTCCACGGATGCATGATCAGCATTTCAGTAATGTACATTATTTTACAGAAAAAAAAATGGATGCATCATTAACAATGATTGCACCAAACCATGTTTGAGCAATTTGACATTATATATATATATATATACTGTATATATATATATATATATATAAAATTTAATAAAAATAAGTTTTCTTAATTGTAATTACTGATCTTAAAGATGGTTTTTAAAAAAATCTTTTTTTGTTGTTGTTGCTTTTTTGTTTTTAATTTAGATTTTAGGGTGAAAAATGACTCAAATACTTACAATTCAAAGAGCTTTTATAAGGATGGGAGTTTTTTCTGTAGAACAAAGTCACATGGGTTTAAAACAACATGAATCCTTATATTTGTATAAAATATCCTTTTAATAAATGTTGCTGGTCCTGTTTAGTATGATCAGCATAGATTACGCTAAAGAAAAAAACATGTGCACCATCTTTTCCCAAAAAACAATAACTCACTGTTTAAAGTGTTTTCTGCTGATGCAACCAGGAATAATACAAAAATAAATATTCACGAATAATATCATAGACTGTTTTTTTTACAATCCAGTCAAACTGTGATGGATTAAATTGAGTCCATATTCTGCATCATTCACATGTTTATAGAGTTTAATGCTGTACACTGAACAAAGGATTTATTTTAAAACAAATTTCAGTCAGAAACTGCTAGTAAATTTGCAAATGTAAAGTATAATAAAATCAAGTGATTTTCTGTATGCATTAGTGTGGAGACGTGGTTAAACTGTTTGATATGCTTCACACCCATTTAATTCACGTACAACGACATGAGCAAAGACACTTCATTACCGCGCAGTGTGACCGTGACAATGAGTCCTTCTGACATTAATATCCATCAAGGGTTCAATGCGACCACATGTTTTGTATGTAAAACTGCAGGCCGCTGTTAAACATCCTGAACTCCTGACAAGCGTTCAGTGATTAGCATGACATGAATGTCTCATTACATGAGCGCTGAAGCTAACAGGCCACTGAAGTCATGCAGCATGATACAGTGCAACACATCATTAAATACCTCGAAACGCACCAAGGGACATCTATTAAGAGTAAAATGTGTGTGCATTTTGTGACGGTCACTCACAAGGAAGGGTCGTGCACGAGATCTTTGAGGTTGATCCCGCTGCGGTCCTCAGTGTGATTGTGAAAGCAGCTGTCGCTTACTGCAACACAAACAGAGAGAGCAGATACATGCTTTAAACAGACACCAGATGATTAGAAATGAGGTAGAATTACAGATAAACATTCAGTGTTCAGATCGACTAAAAGTGACATTTCCACAAAAATAAGAAGCACAACTGTTTTCAAAATTGATAATAATAATAAAGTTTCTAGAGCAGCAAATCAGCATATCAGAATGATTTCTGAAAGATCATGTGACACTGAAGACTGGAGTAATGATGCTGAAAATTCAGCTTTGATCACAGGAATAAATTACATTTTAATATATATTCACATAGAAAACTGGCATTTTAAATTGTAATAATATTTCACAATATTTTACTGTGTTTTGATCAAACAAATGCAGCCTTGGTGAGCATAAAGAGACATATTTCAAAAACATTATTAAATCTTTGGAATGGACAGATTTTTCAACACAACCCACCATATTTCAGTCAAAGGATACCAACATGTATTTAAGAGACTGAAATGAAAGAAAAACGGTTTGTTATCAGAATAACTTTTCAAATGTAAAAGCTTTTTGTTACAACAGAAATGAATTTTAATTTGTATTCAATTCTAAAAGTTACTCTATAGATAAATCACACAAACAAAAATTCCAACCCAACAAAATATTTTCAAGCTAAACATAATTAGAATAACTCAAATTAACAAACTATGTTTAGTAAACTATTTTAGGAAACAAATAAAATCATATTAAAAACATTTTATAAGCAGGTGAATTGTGAATATGGGTTAATTTTGTAAGTAAAGAACATACTAACTAAATAATTGAAGAAAGAAAGAAAGAAAGAAAGCAGACACAGAGTTATTATTTTTTTATTAAAATAAAATAAAAATGACAAAACACACATACATGCACTCACACACACAACTGCTGCATCCAATGAGAGTTTAGTAATCGTCCGTGAGTCATCATTGTGACACAAGCAAAAGGAAAAGAGTGAGAGAGTCAAAGAGCTCTTCAAACCAGGCCGGTCCCTAGAGAGGTAAAGCACCAACACATGATGAAAGAAAAGATCAAGAGAAAGAAAAAAAAAACACATAAAGGAAAAAAAAAGAGGGAAAAGCTGGCTTTTGTGTTCAGCTCAAACACACATGATCTGTGCTGAGGTCAGTTTCATTCTGTTAACCCCCTTCAGGAAACATACGGGCAACATTACAGGCATGATATGCACCGAATCCTTCACAATAAGAACAGAAATATGCATTAAGAAAGTACATTTTGGTTTCATGTTGGGTTAAAAGAATGCATTGGATTACACAGGCAGCCTTCATTACGACTCTGAGCTAAAGAGAGAGTTCAAACAGCAGATCAGGAGAGACAGATAAAGATGCTGAGGAAGATGATGATCTGCACTGGAATCAGGCTTCAAAGGAATGTTAATGCAGCCAGTGCAAGACAGAGAAAGACACGAGATACTGAAGAAGAGAGAAAGAACACGAGAGAACATGTTTCCTGCTTTGTCGGCCATCCCAGCGGATGGAGCTCAATAAGATCCAGGACATGCTTTGCACAGACATGCTTTTTATCCTGCACCATAGTTGAGATTTTTAAAGACTCCATGAAGCAGAAATTGATATTTAGTGCATTTCTTGTACACTGTAAAAAAAAATCTGTGACATTTACGGTAAAATACTGGCAGCTGTAGTTGCCAGAACTTCACCATAAAAAATGGAAACTTACTGTTAACCAGTTAGCATGTTTTTACTGTAGCATTTTACTGTATGTCTTTTACTGTTAAAATCACAATCATTTTTTACAGTGTAGCTTTGAGGCCATTTGGACTCCCAATAACAACAACACAATGGTTTAAAACTAACAAAGCATTTTTTAACCTAGCCTTTAAATATAATGCATTGTAAAAGTATTTTAATGCATTATTTTGCTTTGTAATGCACCTTGTAATGCATTGTATGATCTCATGAATAATTGTGACTATACTTATAAGACATTATAATACTCATTTATTCATTTTTGTAAACATTTTTCTTTAAAAATTATAATGCATTAAAACATGACAAAAATATTTTAGATATATCAGGTAATCAACATATATTATAATGCATTTTAACTTTAGTTACAATTATTTATGAAAATACATTGCACATTGCAAAGTACATTATGAACACCTTTATAATGCATTATACATAAAGGCTTAAAGTGTTACAAAGCATAGCCTATCTATTTATTAATATTGCCATGAACTGCACAGGCCCAGCAATATGTAAAATAATACATATATCAATATGTTTTAACAGGAAATATTTCAATGCAAGAAAACCGGTTTGCAAGGCATCCAGAAATATGTTGCAGTCTGTTCATGTTTGCTAATGAAACCCAAAAGCACTTTTATTAAAGTTTTTTTTAAAGATGTTATTACTTTTACTCAGCAAAGATGCATTCATTTATGTAACTGTGATTTTTAAAAAATCTAACAATTCAGACTTTTTTCCTCAGAATTCAGAATTGTGAGATAAAAAGTTGCAATTACCTTTTTTTTCTAAATTTTTTTATTCCATAGTGGGGAAAAAAAATTGTGAGCGGTAAACTTGAAATTGTGAGAAACTCAATTTTAAAATATATTCACTTAGAAAACAGTTATTTGAAATTGTAATAATATTTAAAAATTTTTACTGTATTTTAAACTTTTAGAATACACTCCAAACCAGATGTGAGCATCTCTAACCACAGCACAGCTTTTCTGCTTTCAGTGTGAACAGACAAATCATGCCTGGATTTGTTGGGACAGGGTGTAAGTCTGTCTGGATAAAAAGCATCAGCTAAATGTCAAATTAGTAATCACAGCACGCTGTTTTGGGCTTCAGTTAAGGCTGTGCAGTATGGCTCCAGGACAGGGAACAGGTCCAGCAGAGGCCCAATACGAACGCTGCAGTAAACGCAGTCCTGCTGCTTCTCCATCTGTACTGCAACAGGGACAAGATGGAGCACCTGACCTTTGACCTGACCCTCATCTGCTCTGAGAGTTATCAGTTATCAGTCTGAATGAGGACAGAGAGCGCTACTTCATAGTAAGCACACTTGACGGACCACATGCACTGATTCAAACAATGCAGAAACTATATAATGCATAAATGAGTATTATCTATGCCAGCATGCTGTTACAAAAACTATTGATTGTCTCAAGCAGTAGCACATACTAGCAGAAGAGATTTGGATTTGTTTTGGAAAACAGTGTTCATTAATTAGGCCCCTATGTTTGCTGTAATATGGAAAACCCAGATGGAATCACAAATTACGGTCATAAAAATTGAATTTACAGTATAATGTCACAGAATTTGGCAAATTGTTGATGAATTGTATAATTATTCAATATGTGATATGGACACAGAAACACAAAGGTCTTCACTACGACCTGTCAAAACAAAAGCTGACAGAAATGTATTACTATTGTACAGTAGAGAGTACTGATAATAATAATAATAATAATAATAATAATAATAATAATAATAATAATAATAATAACTTTCCCTTTTTTTAAGGAATACCACACAATTTTTCTTCCATGTCAGAATTTGGGAAATTGAATTTGGAAAACAGAATTTGGGAAAATAATTCAGAGTAAAATGCATAAAAATTGCATAAAAATTCACGATTTCATACACTGTGAAAAAAAACCCCAGAAGTAAATAAAAAATTAAACATTTCGAAGTCGGAAATAAAACAAATGGAAAATGGTTTTCTAGTCTTTCTACTTCAAAATTTCATGTTTAATTCAACGTGTGACCTGCAGTTTCTTTGTAATGAACAGTTACATTTACTAGCAATTTTTGAGGGAAAATTGTTTCTACACCATTGTTATTTATTTATTTATTTTTTCAGTGTGTGGCCCTAAGTAATGTCAATCCAAGACTAGAACCACACTAAAACCATCATCATCAAGCATCACGACAGCAAGTTTCACACAGGCAAACACCTTGAATCTTGAATGAATGTCAGTCCCACCAGAAACAAGCAAATGTTTTATGTCAGACTGCTGTTAATTGCATTATGCTAATTTTTCACGAGGTCACGCCTCATTACGTCTCATATTTCCTTCAAGAGTTACAGCACTGGGGTGACACGCTCAGGTGAGGGAAACATGATCAGCACACAGGACGAAAGCAACAGGAAATGAGCCGATTTATTTCGATATTCTCATTTTATAACTCAAACCAAATAAACCAACTAATAAGTAAAAAGGGCTATAGACTACAAAGAAATGTTAAAAAATTCCCAAAATAATAAAATTACAAAATTACTACAACTTTAAAACATAAAAAAAGTTACCTGAAACTAAATAAATGTTAACTAAGTTGAGGTACTAAAATAACTTAAACTAAATAAACCAAAACGAATAAATAGAAATAAAAACTATACAGACATATAAAAAAACTAAAATATTTTTAAAATAATAAAAAAAATTACAAAAACACACAACAAAATTACAAAGACTTTAAAACTAAAACCATAGATAATCAAGAAAAAATTACTTACCTGAAAAAAAATACGTTAACTGAAAACAAGTGAAGTCCTATAAAAGCTAAAATAATAAAAAACGAAAACTAATAAATAAATTATATATATATATATATATATATATATATATATATAAACATAAAAAACTAATAAAAATAACAAAAACAAATGACAAAAAACAAAATTACTAACAATTTCAGAAAATCTCACAATAAAATCTAATTCAAAGTATCAACAAAACCTATAACAGTCTATTAATGATATTAAAATAACACTGGCATACATCAAACACCACTCCTATTGCTTATTACATTTGGCAAAATGTCCAGTAACTCTCAACTTGACCAGTGATGAATAACAACTATGATCTGATAATTTGTTGCCAAAACTTAAAACTGACATTGGATTAAAAATGCAAAATCACTGTATGGTAACTGATTATATAATAATGAAGTCATGTGACAACAACGTAGCATACTACTGGCTGAAATATTAATCGTT